TTTTAATGGTCTCGGTTGAAAGAAGCCCCGTCTTTTCTATGCTGTTAGGGGTGTTAATTGACAGGGAATCCCCATTTGCCATTATTTTCCAATTTAAATAGAAGGGGAAAACCTAGACAAGGTTTTTTTATGGGTTTGAATTAAGGGTAACCCTTTTTGTTGTCCTAAAGCTTAAATTGAGGGGGAAGCCCAGCTATTCCTCTTTCTTAAAGGCTTGGATTGAGTGGAAGATCCCTCTGTCTTCATTATTGCAGAGATTTAAAACGAGGAAAACTTCTGTTTTCCCAATATTCTAGGGGATTAAATTAAAAGGCAGAAGCCATTTATTTGCCATTGTATCCATTTCAGTGGAGGTAAATTCCCCATTTCCTCATTTTAAAGGATTCACTTGAAGGAGCCTGTTCTAAAATGCTTTTTCAGCATTTTAAGGGTTTAAAACTACATTTCAGGGCACTTCTTTCTGTGCCCTAGGACTAAATATCTCAGGGAAAGGCAAGCCTAGCATGTACTTAACCTTTATGCTGCCCAGGAGCCCATTTCTTTTCTTATATTTATTTATAATGTAGTTAGCCCTAATTAGTAGCTCCAAGGAGACTTAGACAGTTCATATAATTAGTATTCTTCTCCACCCTTAGTCTCACGTTGAGTACTACTTAGAAGTCACTGAGGAATAATTATATAAGTTAACAGCAAATTATCCAACTTATCTAGAAACGCTGCCTAAAAACAAAGTTTTATTTCTTACCGGTTTTCTTGCCCTTTTGCTCCAAGTATTTGTAGCAAAAAAAGAAAGCGCTGTCATTTCCTTGAAGAGTTTTCTTCTATATCAAGCCCTTTATTCTCTTTGAATTCAAATCAGAGGAGCCAAACAGCAGTAGCTGCTCTGAGGGCTTTTATGCCCGGTGGGGTTTGCCCCCTCCCTTTTCCTGGGTGTCATGGGAATGAGAGGCGGGCCCAATCAGGGGTATATTAACCCCAGCCTTTTCAAGGGGCTTCATTCCCTCCCTGGGATCAGTGGGGGTAAGAGCTCTCCTCTCATTTTGGTGAAGAGGCTCTTTCAGCTTATCCCAGCTTGTTCTTTTGGGCTTTAAATGCAACAGAGGCTTTGAAGATACTGTGAAGAAAACAACGTTGAACACAGGGAGTATTTAAGTTTGTGATTTGGGGTTATGCATTCTGGGGTGGTAAGGTGCTTTTGTATTTTCTGGTTTTTTTTTTTTTTTTTAAGGGGGAGTAGCTTCCTGTAATTCCAGATCATGTTGAGTACAACATTTTTTCAGCAAATTCATCATGTCACAAAAGGGATCTGCCCTGTGTCAAAGATGATGTCTGAGATAGAGGCTTCAGGTGAGTTGAGGATTGTGACTAGGAGAGGGAGAGTGAGCAGGGTACCTGGTTAGGGGCTACTGTGGTAGGGGTTTGTAGGCGGTAGGGTGAGAAACGGTGTCTATTTGCAAGGCCTTCCACAAGCATAGCAGAGGCATCCGTGTGTCATATAGCACACAAACTTATCCACTGAACTCACAGAAATGTCATGTAACTTTGCCTTTCTAATAACAGCTATACCTTAGACTCAGGATGAAGTTGGAGACTTGAGGACCCAGGCACACTCAGGAGAGGATAAGTAGCTGACTTATTGGGATTTGGTCCATGTAACACTAAACTCAACCATTGATTTTCAGGTTCATTATTTTAGCTGACTGAGAGACTAACAGGCGATCACCTCCGAGGCAGACTCATTTTAGGTCCAACATGGATTCATAGCACCAGGCATCCAAAAGATAAGTTGGGGCCACGGCCTGGAGACGGGAATAGTGGCCTCCTTCTGCACCCAATGGGGATTTGCATCCCCAGATATGTGCAAAATAAGTCTAGGGCTAAAACTGCAGAGGAGATGGAAGCGGGGTGCTGGGTTGGGACTCCCCAGAAGGGGTTTTGGAGTCAGTTTTGGAGATGGGGATGTCCAAGAAGCGTCTCCTTAGGCCACCTAAAGGGAAGGTATTTCTTTTGATCTCAGTGCTGAGGTGCTCAGGGCAGAGCAGTTCCGGTATGCGTCCTGTCACTTGTCTCTGGTGCACTCTGTGTTCTTTGGGTCTCTCGGTCCTTGCTCACATTCTTCTCATCGAAAGCTCTCTCTCCCTCTCCTGTCCCGTCGTTTGTCACGTCCTGTCCTGTGTCACGGGTGTCTGCACATATTTGTCCCGGAGCTGCTCTGCCCTGCTGCATAGCCTGTAACAGCACAAGTCCTGTGGACTTGAAATTTGTAATGCAGGGTGTAGTTGTGCTCTGCATTGTATTCGTTGATTGCCATAATATGTTTGGCGGTGTTAAGTTGTCCTGCCGCCGTTTGACACTAGTCCTATCTTCCTTTCAGATGCAGACAGTTCAAATCAGTGGCAGAGGGCATCAGTCCTGGGTGAGGGTGTTGTCAGGAGCAGGTCAGTCATTGTTAGCATTAGGAAGCCTAAGCGGTGACTTTGTTACAGCGGTGTTCTTTGCATTTATTTTTAGAAAGTCCATGCAGATAGCAGCAGTCAAGGCCCAGTGTGCTAGGTGAGCAGTGGACAGAAGCAGTTGTTCTTGCTCAGGTTTCAGTTTTTGGTGCAACTCTAAGCATCCATTCTTGTTTGTGTGCTTTAGGGAATCCCCTCGGAGTATGCGTAGCCTCTTTCACCAACTGGCCGATGGACCGGGTTTCCTGCACTTGTGAGCCCACTGGAAGTATTTCAGGGCTCTGTGATGAAGCCTTGAAATTTTGTATTTCAAGATGGCATCCGGGGAGCCTTTGGCAATGGCCGAGGAGTTGCGGTGAGACGCCGAGGTAGGGAGGGGGAGCCAAGGTCCACTTAATTTTCAGCGTTGCTGAGTCACTTTGTCTCTTCTTAACCCAGGCAGACCCTGTGATGACGGTGGCAGCCTCCGAGCATGGCCTAAGTGTGCGGCCCGAGCAACCAGGCCTCCTTAGGAGAATGGTGAGTAGTAGAATTGCTGGGTTTTGTCCATTGTGCAGCTAAGATCATGCAGTGATATTTGGTGTTCTTGCTTGTAGCTGAGCAAAGGACCACAGCCCGCTGACCATAGGACATGCCCAGCAGGCAAAGCGGCCTCCATTCGCACGCGACATGGATTCTCATCCCCAGATGCCTGTGAGATAAGTCGAGGACTAAGGCCCACAGAGGGCATGAAAGCGAGGCGCTGGGAGGGTCTTTTGAATCAGCTTTGGGGGGCGGCCATGTGCAAGAAGTGTCCCATTAGGATGCCTAAAGGGAAAGTGCTTCTTTTGATCACAGTGCTGAGGTGCGCAGGGCAGAGCAGTTCTGGTGTGTGTCCTGTCACTTGTCTCTGTTGCACCCTGTGTTCTTTGGGTCTCTCAGTCCTTTCTTCTCATCAAAAGCTCTCTCTCCCTGTCCTGTCCTGTGTCACGGGTGTCTGCACATATGAGTCCCGGCCCTGCTCTGCCCTGCTGCATAGCCTGTAATAGCACAAGTCCTGGGGACTTGAAATTGGTAATGCAGGGTGTAGTTGGGCTCTAGAGTGTATTAGGAGATTGACATAACATGTTCGGTGGTGTTAAGTTGTCCTGCCGCCATTTGACACTAGTTCTAACTTCCCTTCAGATGCAGACAGTTCAAATCTGTGGCAGAGCGCCGTAGTCCTGGTTGAGGGTGTTGCCTTGAGCAGGTCAGTCATTGTTTGTATTTGCAGGGGAAGCTTAAATGGTGACTGTGTTACAGCGGTGTTCTTTGCCTTTATTTTTAGGAGGTCCAGGCAGATAGTAGCAGTCAAGGCCAAGTGTCCAAGGTGAGCAGAATCAGTTATTTTTGCTCAGGTTTCAGTTTTTGGTGCGAATCTAAGCATCGTTTCTCATTTTTTGTGCTTTAGGCAATGCAGTCGGAATACGCCAATCCCCCGTCACCAACCGGCTGATGGACTCTGTTTCCTGTGCTTGTGAGTCCTCTGGAAGTATTTTAGGACTCTGAGACGAAGCCTTGAAATTTTGTATTGCAAGATGGCATCCGGGTAGTCTTTGGCAAGGGCCGAGGAGTTGCAGTGAGTCACCAAGGTAGGGAGGGGGAGCCAAGGTCCTCTTAGGTTTCAGAAATGCCAAGTCACTTTGTCTCTTCTTAACCCAGGCAGGACCTGCGATGATGGTGGCAGCCTCTGTACTGGCCAAAGTGTGCGGCCCGAGCAACCGGGCACTCTGAGGAGAATGGTGAGTAGCAGAATTGCTGGGTTTTGTCCATTGTGCATCTAAGATCATGCAGTGATGTTTGGTGTTCTTGATTGTAGGTGAGCAAGGGACCACAGCCCGGTGACCATAGGAAATGCCTAGCAGGCGTGGCAGCCTCCATTCGCACAGGATATGGATTCTCATCCCCGGATGTTTGAGAGATAAGTCGAGGCCTAAGGCCCACAGAGGGGTCGAAGGCGAGGAACATGGAGGGCCTTTTGAATGAGCTCTGGGGGCGGAGATGTGCAAGAAGTGTTCCTTTAAACCACCTAAAGGGAAAGTGTCTGTTTAGATCACAGTGCTGAGGTGCACAGGGCAGAGCAGTTCCGGTATGTGTCCTGTCACTTGTTTCTGATGCACTCTGGGTTGTTTGGGTCACTTGGTCTTTGCAGACCTTCTTCTTGTGCAAACGTCTCTCTCCCTGTCCTGTCCCCTCCTTTGTCACGTCCTGTCCTGCATCACGGGTGCCTGCATGTATTTCTCCCAGAGCTGCTCTGCCCTGCTGCATAGCCTGTAATAGCCCAATTCCTGGGGACTTGAAATTTGTAATGCAGGGTGTAGTTGGGCTCTAGATTGTATTAGGAGCTTGACATAACATGTTTGGTGCTGTTAAGTTGTCCTGCAGCCCTTTGACACTAGTCCTAACTTCTTTTCAGATGCAGACAGTTCAAATCAGTGGCAGAGGGCCCCATTCTGGGGGTGGTTGTTGCCATGAGCAGGGTATTGTTTGTATTTGGGTTAGGGTTAGGGTTTTTGTATTTGTTTGTATTTGCAGGCAGAGCTGAAATGGGGACTGTGTTACAGCAGTGTTCTTTGCCTTTAATTTTAGGAGGTCCAGGCAGATAGCAGCAGTCAAGGCCAAGTGTCCAAGGTGAGCAGTGGACAGAAGCAGTTGTTTTTACTCGGCTTTCAGTTTTTGGTGCAACTGTAAGCATCCATCCTCATTTTTGTGCTTTAGGGAATCGGCTCGGAGTACGCATACCTCTGTCACCAACTGGCTGATGGACCAGGTTTCATGCACTTGTGATCTCGCTGGAAGTATTACAGGACCCTGTGACGGAGCCTTCCAATTTTGCATTTCAAGGTCTCATCTGGGAAGTCCCGAGGAATGGCCGAGGAATTGCAGTGAGTTGGGGAGGTAGGGAGGGGGAGTGAGTCCACTCGAGTTTCAGCAATGCCATGTCGCCTTGTCTCCATTTAACCTAGGTGTACCCTGCAATGATGGCATCAGAATCCAAGCAGACCTGAAGCGTGCAGGTCAAGAACCCGGGCATTCTGAGGAGAATGGTGAGTAGCAGAACTATCATGTTTTGTCCGATGTGCTGTTAAGACTGTGTACTGATGTTTGGTTTTCTTTCTCTGGGCAGACCAAGAGGTGACAGCTGGAACTTACCAGACAGGCAGACGGCGTCCTTCTGCAGCCAACAGGGATTTACATCTCCGGAATGCATGCAAGATAAGTCGAGGGTTACGACCCACAGAGGGGATGGAAGTGGGGTGGTGGGTTGGGACTTTCTAGAAGGGGTTTTTGTGTCTGTTTTAGAGATGGGGATGTCCAAGAAGCGTCTCCTATAGTCCACCTAAAGGGAAAGTGTTTCTTTTGATCTCAGTGCTGAGGTGCACAGGGCAGAGCAGTTCCGGTGTGTGTCCTGTCACTTGTCTATGGTGCACTCTTGGTTGTTTGGGTCTCTTGGTCTTTGCAGACCTTCTTCTTGTGCAAACCTCTCTCTCCCTCTCCTGTCCCGTCGTTTGTCACGTCCTGTCCTGGATCACGGGTGTCTGCACATATTTCTCCCAGAGCTGCTCTGCCCTGCTTCACAGCCTGCTGTAATTGCACCAGTCCCAGAGATTTGCAGTTTTGCGTGGGGCATGTAGTTGCATTCAAGATAGTATTCCTTAATTCACACTAGATGTTTTGACCTGTTAAGTTATTAACAGGTTAATAACAAACAGCTTTTTGAATTTTCTCCCAACTTCCTTTCAGATGCAGATGGATTAACTCTGTGGCAGTGTGCCCTGGTGCGGTCGGGGGTTTCCCTGAGAAGGTCAGTCATTGTTTGTGTTTGTAGGGGAAGCCTACATGATGACTGTGTTACAGCGCTTGTCTTTGTGTTTAATTTTAGGAAGTCCGGGCAGCTAGGAGCAGTCAAGGCCCAGTGTGCCAGGTGAGCAGTGGACAGAAGCTGTTGTTCTGGCTCTTGTCTCAATTTCTGGTGCAATTCTAAGCATCCCCTCTTGGTTACTTTGTTTTATTGTAGGCACTCCTCTCGCAAGATGCCTCTCGTCCGGATATCCGAGGCCAGGTGGGTGCAAGCGTAAGGTCTGGGTGGGTGTACTTTTTGGTTCAGGGGGATGGTGTTTTCACAGTATCTCAGTGTGGGTTTTTTTGCTTTGTTTTTTTGCAGGTGCTGTCACTGCCCTAGGTGTGTGAAGGAACAGAGGCGAGCGGGTGAGTTGGCATTTAGGCACGGTCACTCATAGGTGACTGTTATGCAGCAGCATGTTAAGCATGTACCTTTTTCATTTTGCAGGTATCCTCCAGGCAGCCTGTGGAGTCAAGATTTCAGGTGAGCTGGGGCAGCGGTGTGTAAGAGTTCCGGGGATTCCTCTTTTGGTGGGCACTAGTTCCATTTTCTGTTTTATCTTAGGTACCGTGAAGAGGCACGTAGCTGAAGTTTGGAAACGGCAGCACCGAAGCGGACGTAGAGACCGTGTCGCCGCCCGCATCCGACTGACATTGGATTCCATCGGTCGTCTTGCAAAAGCTAAGTGCTGGGGCCAGTAGGTGGGAGAAGGGGAAAAACTTTTACTATCACAGGAGACAATTTGGTGTTAGCTTAGAGAAGAGGCCCGTAGCGGGATGGGTCCCTCGGAAGCAAAGGGAGAGGGTTTTTCCTCAGCCTCACCAGGGTCTTTGCCAGGCAGGGCAGTTCCGATCGGTCTCCGCGTTCTCGCGAGGCTCGCGTCGGCGGCCTTCTTCGACTCTCGACGTCATCGTGGATCTTTTCACTCGAGGAGCCCGCCTTCACGTCCGGAGCTGGCGCCACGGTCACCCCGTAGTCATCGCTTCCTTCTCTAGGCCTACTGATCTTCTTAGGCTTCCTCTTAAGTGCTTTGGCACTAACATCTTGAGAGGAGTTACATTTCATCATCATGTGCTAGTGCCGTAGTTCTTTCTTTCCTTTGGCATCATCAGCCCATGGCTCATCTTGGGCTAGGAATCTCGGGTCCATAAGGTGAAACTGCCAGGCAGTTTGCGCTTCTGTCTGTCATGTTGTCTGCATCATAGGTCTTTGCCGCATTGCCGTGCTTTAGCGGCCTCATTCTGTGCCGTATCGGCCATAGTTTTCTCACATACCTTCCCGGATATCACTTATTCCGGCATCTTTACATATTTACTTTCTGGGACGAGAAGATGTACACAAGATGTTCTCATCCATCGTCCTTCTCACATTTGGTAGCCATTCTCTGGGACTTCTATATGGAATGTATTTGATCCTCATCATGTGACCACAGTAGTTCTGTAGCTTCTGCCTTTTCAAAGGATATAGGACTCAAAAATTAATCTTCTGGAGATTTATGTCAAGTCCTCAGTTATATCGTATCTCTGTTGGCTTATATTGTATGTGCTTATGTTGCGCCTGCCTATGTTGGCTTATATTGTATGTGCTTATGTTGCGCCTGTCTATGTTGGCTTATATTGTATGTGCTTATGTTGCGCCTCCCTCTGTCAGCTTATATTGTACGTGCTTATGTTGCGCCTGCCTATGTCATCTTGTATTGTATGTGCTTATGTTGCACCTGCCTATGTTGGCTTATATTGGATGTGCTTATGTTGCGCCTGCCTATGTCATCTTGTATTGTATGTGCTTATGTTGCGCCTGCCTATGTTGGCTTATATTGGATGTGCTTATGTTGCGCCTCCCTCTGTCAGCTTATATTGTACGTGCTTATGTTGCGCCTGCCTATATCATCTTATATCGTATGTGCTTATGTTGCGCCTGCCTATGTTGGCTTATATTGTATGTGCTTATGTTGCGCCTGCCTATGTCGGCTTATATTGTATGTGCTTATGTTGTATGTACCTACATTGGCTTATGTTGTGAGTACTCATATTGTATGTACCTACATTGGCTTATGTTGTGCGCGCCTCTGTTGTGCCAATTACGATCGGAGCTGCCCTGCTCGGGCACACAGTCAGGCTTAGGTAGAGCAGTTGTAAAACTTTGCAGTTCATCTGTCTTCTGTGGGGTTTTGGGTACAACACTGATGGGCCCAGAGTGGGTATAGCTCCTGGCTGTCAGATAGTCAGTCATTGACCGCCTCCATTGTCTTGCAGGTTCCTGGGTCCCTACAGAATTTCCTGGAATCTACCAATTGACATCGAGGAGCCGCGGTCATAAGATGCGTCGAAGCATATCTTTCGGCGTAGTGTTTCACGTAAGGGTGGCATTCACCGTGTTAGTAGAAGAGAGTGTGATTGTCTGTGTCTGTCTGTGAGAGTTTGTGTGAGCTTGCATCTGCAGGCGTGTCTGTGTGTGTGTGTTGAGTGGTTCTAACCTTGTGTGTATGGCCTTTGCCTTTCAGGTTTTTCAACTCATTTTTAAATTTAGAATAAAAAATCCCCAGCCGGGGGGTTTTTTTTTTTTTCCCCCCGGCTGGGTTTTTTTTTCCTCGGTCCCGGCCGGTCAGCGAGGCGACGTTCATCGCCAAAGTTAGGGCGCGGACCGTCCCGGGACCGGGGTTTTTGTCAGGCAGGATGATGTTTTTTGGGAGTCTCCCAGGAACCACGTTCCCGAGGAGTGTTGTGAGAGTGTGTTGTCGGCCAGGTCTTAGCTGAGCGGTTGAGATGAGAGCGAGGGTGGGTTGGTGTGTAAGCTGAAGGAGGGCTGTGTGTGTGTGTGTTGAGTGGTTCTAACCTTGTGTGTATGGCCTTTGCCTTTCAGGTTTTTCAACTCATTTTTAAATTTAGAATAAAAAATCCCCAGCCGGGGGGTTTTTTTTTTTTCCCCCCCGGCTGGGTTTTTTTTTCCTCGGTCCCGGCCGGTCAGCGAGGCGACGTTCATCGCCAAAGTTAGGGTGCTGACTGTCCCGGGACCGGGGTTTTCGTCAGGCAGGAGGATTTTTTGGGAGTCTCCCGGGAACCACGTTCCCGAGGAGCGTTGCGAGTGCGTGTTGTTGGCCAGGTCTTAGCCGAGCGGTTGAGATGAGAGCGAGGGTGGGTTGGTGTGTAAGCTGAAGGAGGGCTGTGTGTGTGTGTGTGTTGAGTGGTTCTAACCTTGTGTGTATGGCCTTTGCCTTTCAGGTTTTTCAACTCATTTTTAAATTTAGAATAAAAAATCCCCAGCCGGGGGGTTTTTTTTTTTTTCCCCCCGGCTGGGTTTTTTTTTCCTCGGTCCCGGCCGGTCAGCGAGGCGACGTTCATCGCCAAAGTTAGGGCGCGGACCGTCCCGGGACCGGGGTTTTCGTCAGGCAGGAGGATTTTTTGGGAGTCTCCCGGGAACCACGTTCCCGAGGAGCGTTGCGAGTGCGTGTTGTTGGCCAGGTCTTAGCCGAGCGGTTGAGATGAGAGCGAGGGTGGGTTTGTGTGTAAGCTGAAGGAGGGCTGTGTGTGTGTGTGTGTTGAGTGGTTCTAACCTTGTGTGTATGGCCTTTGCCTTTCAGGTTTTTCAACTCATTTTTAAATTTAGAATAAAAAATCCCCAGCCGGGGGGTTTTTTTTTTTTCCCCCCGGCTGGGTTTTTTTTTCCTCGGTCCCGGCCGGTCAGCGAGGCGACGTTCATCGCCAAAGTTAGGGTGCTGACTGTCCCGGGACCGGGGTTTTCGTCAGGCAGGAGGATTTTTTGGGAGTCTCCTGGGAACCACGTTCCCGAGGAGGGACGATGACTCGGGTATCACAAAGCAGTTCCTGTGAGTGTGAAGGTGAGTTTGTGTGTAAGGTGAAGGGGGCATGCAAGTTGCATGAGCGTTGTGAGCCGTTTGTCCGGGT